TTTATTTGTTACTCAGAGGAGGTGTTTTGAATGAGATTTCCTCTTTACTAAACCAAATATGTTTTGTCCCTCTGACTTCTCCAGACAAAGCATAGAATCAAACATTTGCAGAAAGGCTATCAGTGACTTTTCTTCTGCTTTCAAGGATCAAATCACTGATCTTGTAAGTACACCAGAGATAAAATCAGTTTAGTGGTCAGAATACCGATGGGTTTATATTACCCTTTACACATTCATTTTAGAAGCTGCAAAAGTTTCCAGTCTCTTGTTAGTATAAGTAATGTGAAAAGACAATTTGTTGTGTGCAGGTTGTGGTTGGCTGCCTCTGTGCGGGCTTTCACAAGAATTGCCTCTAGACACAACACTGGGGTCATGCAAGTACTCTGCCAAATTGTCACCTTTTGAGAATAGGGAAGCATCCAATAATCCTGAAATGTTGGCCATATTTAAATCATTATGTAGTAAAACTGGCGAGCTGTATAATTTAAATGAGCATACAGCTATGTCAAACACTGTTTTCAAAGCTCATTGACTAGAGTTTTAAAAGGTGGATTTAATTTTTCTGCGGTCTCAGTGACTTCTTAGTAGGCCTCTAATGTATTCCAGGGTAAATCATCCTTTTAAACATTTTGAACATAACTGTAAGTGTAAGATATTCAAGAACCATCTGGACACAATCCTGTGCCATGTGCTCTAGGATGACCCTGCTTGAGCAGGGAGGTTGGACCAAATGACTCACTGTGGTCCCGTCCAACCTGAGCCATCCTGTGATTTTGGCTGGAAAGATTAAGGTGATTGTGATACGTAAAATGAACTCAGGACTTTGCAGGAGTTGTGCCAAGTACAATGGCTGAGTACTAAAGCTACAGTTCTGAGTGGTTCATTAGAAGTAACAAGTGTTGGAATTGCCAGATTTATACATCTATATAAAGATACTGAAAAATTAAGGTAGGTAGTATTATAGGAATTGGTACAAGGAGTATTATTTGCACTAACTCCTTTTGTGCAACAGTTTTCCTCTGGCATGAGGAGAGGGGAAAGAATCAATACACAACCAATAACGTCCCTTTGAACCAGGGTTGATTTTTAAAAATAAAAACCCAGCTTTTTATGTTATTCCAAAGTCATTCTTGCAACCATGTTTTTAGGAGGATAGTGATGAACTCAACTTGTCAACCTGTAATTCTTCTTCTCTGTAGATAGCAGGAGTCCAGGAATTAAAGAATATGAAGAAAAAAAATGCTAAGGTAAATACATATCTATCACTAGATTGTAGAGCATACAGCTGTGGGCATTGAAATGTTGAGAACTTGACTGGAAGAGACAAAATAATTTACAGAAAGGTGTACTGTACCCAGAATCAACTGCACAGAGGTTAGGGAACCACACAAAATTTTTTGGAAATGATCTGAGTAAATGTTGTGGATTGCAAACTCCAGATGTATACTGCTATATTGTGTAAAAAGAATGAGTGCACATTAGGATGGGTAAGATCTATGCATGTCAGTTACTCTTTTGACTTTTTGGTTTGTTTTTTTTTTAAAGAGTGAGGCCTCTGGAGAGCCAGTTAAATAATGAGCTAACCTTAAAGAAACATAAATTAATATCAAATCTAGGAGAGCAGCAAAGATAGCAACCTTTGAGGATGGAATGGGATTGCTTAATTTAAAGAAGGGAAGATTCAGGCAGCTGCATTCCCTAAATAGATGCAGTTTTTGTTCAGAGGAAAACAGTTCCTCTCTTCATTTATAGCAAGTAGGAATTTGCTGACTATGCAATGGGAATGTTGACAGAAGGAGGCACTAGTGTAAGGGCAAAAAAACATTGCAGTGGTTTCATCAGGAAGAGGTGAATGCCCTACAGAAGAGAGATTTAAGAGCAGCTTAGGCACTGTCTGGATTTCTGCCCAAATTAACATCTGCAAAATTATCAGTGGCGAAATAGCTTTAACAAATAGTCAACATAAAGCTTATCCTGGGAAGTAGCAATTAATATGCTAAGGTCTTGTTGACTTGGGGTGATATGGTAAACTCCTCTGCATGTAAAATGAAAGTCTTAATACACACCTAGCATTGACAGCCACTCAGATTTATCCTTAGTTTGCTTCTTAGACATTTGTTTAAAATTAAGTTTTTAGTTGCTATATTTAAATTTATAATAAATTTTGGGTGTTATTTTTTAATTGTATGTTATATTAAAGAAAGCTTATTTGGTTATGGCAATCATCCTGAACATAGGTTTGTGTTAATTTTCATTTTTAAACCTAAAATCTAGAGTTCATAATGTTTAAAATTAAAAAGTCACAAACTCCTTTTGTATGCTTCAAATCCAATGTTTCTTAAGAAAAAAATTGGATGGAGATTAGAGTTTGACATTTTAAACAGCTTTAAATTGTTTAAAATACAGATGTAACATATGGCAATTTATCAGGTCTGGTATCTTAGAATCTTCCACAATGACAACCAGCGTAAAACCTCAGAAAAATAAAAGACAATGAAATTTGAGTTGTTTGCCTTTGAAGTTTTAGAAACTGTTTTACAGACTTTGCTCACTGTTTGTTTCAGGCAATAACAAGCATCAAGAAGAAAAGGCAGAAACTGGTGCAAGTCAGAGAAGAGCTAATTGGGTATGTTTCTAACGATGCACAGTAATATCCTGAAGAAGTTAAGAGTCTGGTATTTTGTAACTCGGAGGGAATGTAATTTTTTTTTGTTTGCTCATTTTATTTTGATGAAATTACCACTCTTCCATTTTTGATTTTACAAAAGCTCATGATAACCTCTCCTTTACATATTTCAGTTGTCTAGACAGTGATTCTTGCAAGTTCTCTTAGCTAACTAGATACTAGGAGGGTATTTCACAACATATGTTCATTGGAAGAACACCAGTGTTAGGATTTGAATTGCAATTGTGCTGGATCATAAATTACCAAGGTAATACAGAAGATTTCTTTGGTTTTGAGGTGGGAGATTGTATTTCACCTTTGCATGTGGGCAGGGGTTGCTCTTAGTACGTGGTTTATTTCCTTCTCATGTGGCCACACAATTCCCTTCTCTAACTTGGCATTAATCTTAAGTGTCATTTAGATACACAGGAATTATGTGGTTGGAAGAACCATTAGACTTCCTCAAATCACTTGGGTTGGTAGTGACAAGCTTTATACTGAAGCTGCATTTAACATACCCTGTAACTTACCCTGTAAGGTAGCACTGTAGGGAACCATGGGCTTGGATCCATTAAAACAGGGTAAAAACCTTTTCTCTATGGCCATGAGAGGTGTTTTTCTATGTAGTGCTATGGACAAACTTTTTTCAGATAACTATTTGAAGCCCCTGAAAACTGTCTTCACATTTTTATGTGTTGTGTTTTAATCCTTTGATCATTTTTTCCAGTTTATTTAGCAGAGGTGTAGGTAGTTTGTAGATTCTGAACAACTGAGCTTTGCAGGCAGGGGTGTGCAGAAGCAGAATACTTTGTATTTAAGAAACTACACTTCAAAAACCTAAATGCTTAAGAAAGAGTGACTACATTGCCAGACTCAAGAGAGGTGTGGGTCTTTTTGGTGGATTTGGACTCATGCCCCTGTTTTAAGTACTATGCTTGTTCTACCTAAGCACTATTCCATAGTAACTTATGTTTTGTATTTCTGACCAACCTTGTAAGAATTCCTTCAGAGGAAATAGGGTCATAGTTATTCATGCAATAAATATGCAGATGGAAGCATCAAAGTCTTGATCTTTCAGAGCTGAACCGCAACTGACACAACTACAAAGAGAATATGCTGAGTTACAGGAAAGGCAATCTTCCTTGAGGCAAACAGTTGAATTAATTACTGATTTAAAGGAGCTACAGCAAGACTGTTTGGATTATAGAGAAGAAAATCCAAAAGAAAAAGTGGTAGTAAGTACATATTCTGCATGTGTTTCAGTTTTCTAAGTGTTTTTATTTTAATTTATGAAATTTATTTATTAACATCTCTTAAGTAGAAATCTTTTGTTAATTGTCTTTGTGGAAGCAGCTTGAAAATCACTGCTGAACTTTACTGTAGTTTGTTCTTTTGGTCTTTCACTTGTTCTTTTGGTATTAGAAGCTGAAGTATTTCAGAGAAGATTCTGCTGCCTTGCTCTCAGTATCCAGGAATTCAAAAGACATAGAAATGAAACTGTTGTCCTTAGTTGTAACTTTTTTACAGAAATTGGAGATTAACAGTGGGACAGAAGTAATTCTTTTTTTGCGTTTTTATTGTTCAAAAGCAGAAAAAGCTCTGGCACTTCCATGTAAGATATTTAATGCTGAGAACCATGCTGGTATGTCATGACCAGAGTCACTTCTCATGTAGCTTTAGAACTCGCTCCTGTTGTACCAAGGACCTGGCGTGGCATTTTTAGGACAAGGCTTACACACCTGCCATGTGTGAGGGAAATCCTCACATTTCAAAATACACTTTAATTTTGCATGTTGTTAACTTTTAAAGGTCATGTTGCTCCACTTTAGCGGAAAAATAAATACTGATATGTAAGTTATCGTTTCAGAAGTTAAAAATGTAGCCTTGTAATATCATCTTCTTATCAACAGTATGGAACTTCCAGCCTCCCTGCTCTTCTGGTGGAATCTCGGAGAATTCTAGGAGCAGAAAGGCACTTTGAGAATATCAATATGAAACTGGAAGAGGCTCTGGCTGTACAAAAGCAGCAGAAATCAAAGAAAAATTAAGTATTTTTTTAAGACTTTCAGACATTCAGTAGACACCGTTGTTAGAATTGTCAGTGCTTAAAGCTTGTTTAATCATTGTTACTCTATTTTGTTTCAGTGTTTAAAAGAAGTCAGCAACTTAGAGATTGTATCTTTTTATAGTCCAATATCAAAGAAAGGAAATAGTGATCACAGTTAATAAAACTTTTCTGTACGCTGAACAATGTTGGGTGTTAATCTTATCCTATTAAAGTAATCTTGAGAGGGATATATTCATAAAGAGAATACAGACTCTGGTTGAACAAAGATGAATAAACAAATCTTTTTATTAAATTTCCATTTGAAATAAATTATTTCACATCATTTATGGAAATAAGAAGTCCATAAATTGTTGGTTTCTCAATAAAAGTTGGATGTACAACTAATAAAATAGAAACTGTACAGCAAAGAACATTAAAAGTGCTAAGCTTGGAGCAGCATTCATAAGGAGTTTTTTAGTCTCTTCAGCCCCCACGTAATCTTCCATGATCTCCTCATGCCTGTTGAAGTTCATCCAGGCACTCCATTCTTTGTCTTACAGCTCTGGAGTGGTGCTTGTGAACCACCCTGCAGGAACTTCCACATCAGCATGCAACACACAAGTGTCATTCACTGCTAGCCAACTGTGCTTAGCTGCCTTCTTTAGTGTAGGGGTCTTCTTTCCTTAAAGCTTCCAAAAGAACTTCATCTGGGATTTCTTCCATGCCATAATTCAGACTGTCATCTGCAGCTTCAGCTAGTTCCACATCTTCAGCAGCTTCTAGGAAACGGGCATCGTCACTTGTGTTTTCCCACTCACTGTCTGACAACGGGAAGTCTTGAGACCAGCTGTTCTCTGGAGATACTGAGCTTTTTGACAAGTCTGACACATTAGAATGTGGATTTACTTTTCCTTCTGTGTGCCCCTTGTCATCCATTAGTGTGGACTCTTCTTCCTGTGAGAGACAAGAACACCACTTACTCCATATGCAAATCTCTTGATACCTTCAACTGCTCTGCAAGTTTGAAGTTTGTGCTGTCACATGGAATGGACACTGCAGAAAGCTGGCCAACACTACAAGATTTTCCAGCATATTCATATATAGTCACATTAACCTGTGGAAGCCTATTTTAATAGGAGTAGAAATCCACTGTTTTTCTAGCACCCTACAAGTAGCCTGTTGAATACAGCTTCATAAAATAATACAAGGTTAAGACTAACTTAAGTGTCTGTTCAAATATACTGTCAGGACCTGAAAATAGAGTTAAGTGACATTTTCTGAAAACTAATAGCTATTGATGAACTGCTTGAGTAGAGCTTAATGTGCCATTCTGCTGTATGCTATTTAGAGCTGTACACTTAAATTTAAAAGTTGAAAAAATACCAATTCTTATTGCCTAAGCACTGGAAAAACTTGTATGTTGAGGGCATAGAGTCTAGGTGCAGTATCAGGTCAGTTTGAATATTCTGCTTGTTTGGGGAAACATACTCCTTTAGTACACTAAAATGGAGATAAATGAATTTCAGAAATGAGGGTCGCTGACTTACATTTGACTCTGACTGACTCAAGAGTTCCAGAACTAGTTCTGTTTTACATTGCATGCACAGGAAAGCTAAACTGGAGCAGTTTTTCTGTTCTGCACCTGGAGTGGCCTTGTGGCTTAGACATTGGGAACTCCTGTTCACATCAGAACAGCAAGTCTTTAATTCCAGGTGAAGTTGGACAATTCCAGTAACTTAGCATTGCTGGAGACCTTAAAAACGAATATATGAAACTACCACACCAGCACAGCTGCTCTGGGGACCTCTATACAACTGTAACAGTGTGTGGCACTCTCCCAGCAGAGAGTGGGATATTTGTGGGAATATCCATGGATTTCCAGAGCCTCTCAAGAACTTGAGCATCTCAATAGGACAAAAACATACCTCTTTGAAAAGAGATTGGAGGCATATCCCAGGTGGCAATGGAAAACCTAAATCAAATATAAGACATTAATTAAAGTTAACATTCCAAAACTTACTAAGTATAACTGAGATCACAGGCTACATACTTTGTGATTTGAAGTTTTGTTCTCTGCAGACAGGATCGTGACACTTTTGATACCAGACTTCATTCTTTAGATCTACGAGAATCCTAAGAATGAAATTATTTCGTTTTTTAGTAACAGTACATAAATTAAGTGAATTCATGTGGTAGGAAATTCTAATACTAAACAGGTTTTGTTTGTCCTCAGCTATGGACATTGCTTTTATATTCTTGGCATACTTACTACATACTTGTTTTGTGTGATTTTTAGTAAACTTCAGGCTTCTTAAGTTTAAAGAAATAAATTTTTAAGACTAACATCTGAAAGTGAAATTTAGTCAATTTCATTACATTAAGCTTGGAAGAGAAAGTAATCAAATTAAGATTATTATATCGGACTTAACTCTTAAGATTTTGTTGCTGCTGCTGTTACAGATAATTTCATTATAAAAGCCACATAAAATCACTGTTTTCTGTCAACTGATTAGGCCACCCAGCTTTTTCAAACTTCAAGTAATTCACTTGAGAAATAGCAAGTTCATCCAGCTGTGGGGTTTTTTGAATATCCTTGTTTCTCAGAAACACATTCCTTATGTTTCAGTGATTTTAAATGTTACATAAAATTATTTTAAAGTTAAAATATTTATACTAATTATATACTGTAATTCTAATATCATCTAAAAAACTGACTTTCCATCATTTATTTTGCTAAAACTATAGGAAGTCTGAGTCCTTGTAGAGTCACTAACAAAACTCATCTTGATTCATGTGGCAGGAATTACCATTCTAAAATAGCAATTCGCAATTATTATAAAATGACAGAGTAATTTGAATAACATAAGAATGTAATTTAGAAAGCACAGTAAATTAATTTAAAAGCAGTCTGCTTGCTTTCTTATTTTTCAGCTTCCTAGCTGGGAAGTATCAAAACATAGTACTGTTTAATAGCTTTAACATACTTTGATTTTTATGTTAGCATCTTTGGGCCAATATTTTAAATATTGTGAAGATTACTTCATAGAATTATTAGAAATAAAAGTCCAGTTCTCACAAAGTAAACTTGTGGAGGGGATAAAGTGTTTCTTTGGTTTTGTGGGCTTTTTTTTTTGTAATTAAAACATTGTATCACCACATAGCAAGGCAGTAAAAATTGTAACAGTTGCTGATTCCATCCATAACAGTTTTTTCAGCATTTCTAGAGAATAAGAGTTGAACAGGAAAATAACTACAGCTGTTTCAAACTGAATAGTTAAAGAACATACATTATATTGTTACTTTTGTGAGCTCTTCCGATATTTTCACACCAACGGTAACCAGAAATATCATAAATAAGTAGTTCTTTGAGAGAGAAGTAACTCCATTGTCGTATCCCTGAGGAAAAAAAAATTAATTATTTAAATTCTTTTGAAATAGTGCTGCAGAAGACTCATTTGTAAACAGTAAGGTGGTCTCTTTACCTCCTTGTAGTCCATCTTTATTAACCAAAGAATGAACAAAATGATCAATTTCTGGATATGGTGAACCCTGGTAACCTTCCATGGGATCTGTTAAACCAAAGGTCACAAACATACACTGTTAGAGGGTTTGCCACTGTAATATGCCATTGTAACACTTACACTTTATATAGACCATAGGCAGAAAATGTACAGGAATCACATCACACTCTTAAATAAAAGCAGGGATAAAGCCACTGTTACTTTCTCGTAGATCTTTCAAGTACCACCCCCACCCCCAAGGTGCAGAGGGAGCTGGGACAAAGCAAGACAGCTGTGGGTACAGGAGGGGAGGGTCAGTGGCATTCAGATGCTGCAGAGCATCCTTCAGTGCAAATATACTCTGCCTCCTGCAGAAAGGCAGCTGATGAAGGGCCCTCCTAGAAATTACCAGGTGTACAAGTCACAGAACACCTGAATTGCAAGTTTGGGTTGTTTTTTTTTTCTACGCGGTAGAAAAGGTTTGAGGTACCTCTGCTGCTTCTGGTAGTTTTACTGTTTAAAAAAGCAGACATTTTTCTCTCCTCTGAAAAGCCAGATGATAGAACTTTTATGTCATTACTTGCTCTAAAGAAAAGGAAGGATACAAGGAAAAGAGTATTATTTTTACAGCATAACACAGGACAATATAACTCCATGTAACATCCCACAGGGTGCACAACATGACACAGCCCTGGGCCCAGGGGTGGGCCAGGAGACCTCCAGGGATCTCTGCCAACCTTCACCAGCCTATGATTCACTGTGCACCTTTCCCTGTTCCTGGAGCACTTTTCCCTTCTGGCCTTGGCAGTTTCCCTAATTCCCACCACAGGACAGGCGTTCCTCCTCCCCAACAGCAACATTTGGTTCCTGGCCAAAGCCTCAGGACCCACCCATTTAACAGCTGCTGGTTCACACTCCTACAGCAGGATGTGCTCTAGATGTAATATTTATGCAAATACACCCTTTGGAAGGTTTCATTTTCTTTTTTTTTCTCTCTACAATGAACTGCTTTTCCTTGCTATATTGCTAACTGGAAGCCAGATGATAACAGAAGTCTAAATTCAGCACAGCTGAATTTCTCATCCATATTTATGGTGGATTCAGCTGATGTCTATGATCTGAATACACTGTGTGGTTTACTGGCATCATTTCAGGATAATAAACATTTCAGGACATAAAACCTGAAGTCAGAACAAAAATATGCTTTCAATAAAAATATTAATACTATTTTAACCTTTTTGCTACAGCAAATGATTAGGATCTTCTTAAGATAAGATATCAGAGGTTTAGATTAGATATAGAAAACTTGATTATTGTCTGTACAAGTACCCAGCCTACAGAGGGGTCTGTATCAAATGGGAAATCTGGTATGCAAAAAAACACAGCCAGAAACCCTTTGTATTTCTTATCCTACTTTGAAAATTATTCAGACTTCTTATATTTAACTGACTAGAAATCTCTTAAGTTTTGCTTCTAGAACTACACAGAAACTGACCAAACTTAATAATGGTTATGTTTTGGCATTTTGACTGTGTATAGAGAAATGAGGCTGTAACACATTTGAAGGCAGGTTTAATGAAAGAACAAGACTCCCAAGAAATTTTTTTCTTCAAACCAAGAAATTCTACTAGGAACTCCTAAATTACACTGTAACAATGTTGAATTAATTACTGCTTATTCATAATAGTTATTTGTAACTGCTACAGGAGAATTATCATTAAAATAGACATTTTAAAATACTGTACATTTGACTGAAATTAAGTAATTACCCAACATTGCAGATTAGAGAGGAAAGAAAATATGCTTCTTCCAAGGAAACACCCTTTTCACAGTTGGGGACAAACTTATTATCCTCTGCTATCTTCAGAATCACATTTTTTCCTGCTTTTGATGATTTATACATCCGGAAATTTCTATTCTTTGTATAAACTCCTGTAGGAAAACAGATATTTCTTAACAGGGCAGTGCTGGCTAGGAACTAAGATACTGAGCACTTGTAAATTAAACAGTTTTCCTTAGGCCCAGCTAAGAGTCTAATGAATGGACAAAGTCTGTTACTGACTGGCTCACAGCTCATAAAAGAGATGCAACAAAGCAAGATCATGCACACATGTACACTTTTATGTTACAGAATAATTAAGACAAATGTTCAACACCTCTACATAGGCATTTTAATCATTCTGACATAATTGTTAGAAGTTTCCCTTCAGTACAAGGAATTGATTCTTTCACAATAACCTTGTGAAATACAACTGAGCCCAAAAACCTGCCCAATTATTTTAACCAGAAAGAACTTAATCAAACCTTCTGTTTTCTGTGGATTGCTTCATAACTTGTCTGAGGTATGTATCAGGAAAGATTAATTCCAATCTCAAACAGCAAAACAACAATCAGGTATCTTAACATTGCATAACCTATCTAATGATTGATTGAGAAAGTGAGTTTTATTTGCAGGTTGCATTTGACTTTCATGAAGAGAGAAGCACTTACGGAGCTCATACAAGAAGAACACAAAGCTTTCTGTCACTGCAGCCTCACGATACAGTTCAGGAGTTCAGCATTTTTGACTTTCCAATTTTGAGGTAATGTGTAGAACATAAATATTGAGGATGGTCAATTATGGGAAACTAACATCATATTCTTAAAAAGTGAGACGGGAAACAGATTGTTTTGATTTAAATTCCATTCACAAATATGCTTTTAAGAATTTTGAACAGTAGGTGACAGTAACCCTTCTCAGTAACAGGAAAGCCTACTGTAGCCAACTGTGGGATTACACTTCAGTAGATCAGACATACTAAAGAGGCCCACAATAAAAGTGATCCTGAATATTATGAGAAAAATTTGAAGGAATGGGGGTTCTTCAGAAGATTCTGAAGAAAAAACCCGAAGTAAAGTCCTGAAATATGTAACACACTGCTATGCAAAAGCATGCTATTTTTATTTTCCTGAGATAAGGCAAAAAGAAAACAATTTTAAAAACCCACCAGATATGGTATGAGTCAAAAAAGGGCAGAACTTTTAAACTCTAGTTTGACTATGGGTGTTGTGCCTCCTGGAGATTTGTAACATTTTAATACCCTGAGCAGGCTATCCCCAGCTGGACCGTGAGGTGCCTAACCCAAAATTTCTATTATTCCATCACTGAAAGCTAACAGCTGCCATTCCAAACAGGGAAAGAAGGCTCAATTCATACATGTAGGAGAATACAGAAAGCCATGCCTGTAAGACTTGTTTCTTTATTAAGCAGCTTCTAATTCAACTGAAATAACAAAAATGCAGTATATGCTATCCTTTTTCAATCCAAATTGGAGCACTGAAGCCTTAAGGATAGAAAAAAATTAGTCTTGTGTGGAAAGAATTACTTTAAACTTCAGAACAAAATAATTAAATGTAGTAATATAAGAAGTTCCATAGACCATGAAGTTAAGGTTCCTTTAAAGTATAGCACTTATGATAACAGTTCCAGCATGCATTTAAAGTCTGACCATAGGGACAACAGCAATTGAAGATTAAGGAACATTTCATTCTTAACCTTTGTTGCATCCTAAAGGGGGTTAAAAACACTTATACTTGCCTAGATCCACAAAAAGCTGCTTGTTGCCTTCTTTATCCTTTACTATTAGGAAGGAAAAATCCAAATTTTCTCCCTGGTGTGACATTTCCATGGCCTTTGTTTCATGAGCAATGGCTGGCCCATCTTTAGAATCATCTTCAACAGTTGTGAGGTTTGTAAGAGAACCATCTAATCCAGCTCCTGCAGAACACTGGAAAACATTCCCTGCTTCTTCTGTTGGAATCACAACAGCCCTGCCCTCCATTAATCTTATGGCAGGCTGCAAAATGATTCTCACAAAGTTACCTTAAAAACAACCAAAAAAGGTCAGAAGCAGGTGATGTCATTTATGAGTCAAGAAAGAACGTACAGAGTTTCTGTGCAAACATTTTTCAAAACAGCCAAGATGGAAGTGGTTGAAGTTTGGTGTCTTTTTAGCCCATCTGGATTTTTAAAAAGAAATCTTTTGACCAGCCCGCTGTGTAAAATGGTTCTGGTCAGTGACTGAGAAACCAATGCCTCACAAGAATTTGTACCAGATGTCTTTAAGAAAAAAAACCAACCCTAAATACTAACAAGCTAAGATTTAGAATTTTAAAAAGGTTGTGATTGTCCCCCTCACTACTGCTTTCCCTAATTTCACTTTCAGAATTATTGAAATGTTTACTTGCAGCTTCATGGTGTATTTACTGATGTAAGAGCTTGACCAAAACTTACTCAAACAACAAATTACTTTTACAAAAGTATTTTGTAATGACTTTTCAAACTCCTAGTATTGTAATTCAATTCCCACTGGACCTCCAGGCTCTGCTAGATGGCAACCAAAGACAGACAAATACAAACCATGGCCAAATTAGTGCTAGGGTAAAGCAAGCAAAGAGAATAAATAGAGCACATTGTATTGTGGGGAAAAAAACTACAAAGTGGAAGGAATACTGACAAGGATGCTTCTGCACTTGTTGGATGAAGCTTCCACAGGGAACATGAATGAATATGAAATACTGTTCCTCCCATGCTACATATCAGTGGAATGACTCAGCATATCAAGCATCAAAATCATCATCTTCATAATTCATAACAGGACTACTGGGGCACACAAATGAGTCAAGACAACCTTAAACTGGCAATTCTCTGTGTTGGGGTTGCAATTTAAATTGCTTTCAGCTTTCTCTTAAGCATGTTTATGCACAGGTGGCTTGAAATCATCTTTGTCCTGCCTTTCTGACAATGTGCTGAGCAGAAATTAACTGCATTTTGAGCAAAAACCAGTTAATTGTTTAGAGTGACATTAATCTGAAAATTAAGGAGTCATAGACTTGCCAGTTTCATAGAAATCAGTATTTTTGTAAAAAAAACATACAGGCACAAAAAAATTACATTTTTGCAAACACACATGCTAATTATTGGAAAAGAAAGTAGAAGATGAGAAAAAATGAGGCTTAATGAAATAGTAATTATGTGTATGCTGGGAATACATAATTGTTTCCACATATAATTCCATTAAAATAAATACTCATATGGAAGATGGCACTGTATAAAGTCAAAACCTCACCTTTTATTTCTAGGTTTAAGAGAAAAGAACACACTTACCAATATGAGTGTTATCCTTAAATACAGTCTTTTGGGGTAGAAATATTAAGTGCCGACTAAATTTTTCATCAGTACTGGAATCCAAGTTCAAGACATCTTCTGATGAACAATTTACATCATAAAATTCTTTTAATTTTTGGCTGACAAGCTGAAATTATACACATTAATTATGTTGTTTTACTCTAGTAGTTCTATCTATAAAACCTAACACAAATTCAGATTCTACATTTTTCTCAAGGTCTTTTTTTTCCTCATTTTGAGCATACAAATAATTTAATTCAAACTAACCCGTATCAAGTTTTAACCAAGTTTGACATGGACTTTATTTCCTTAAATATGCAAGTCACTTAACACTTAACTAACAGTGATAAGCTGAGAAGACTTCCAGTTTCTCAGGTCAAAGTCTGGTTAGGAGGCTTTACCCTGCAGGTTGTTTTCCACCACAAAGCAGTTCCCACCCACAGTGACAATGTTTGCAATGCAGACTCACCAGGAGTGGAAGATAGAGGCTGTCATGACATAAAGGACTGGTGAGCAAATTCACTGTTATGATTTAGCTAATTCATTGGTATGACCCAACGAACAATAATTAAGCAGAAAACAGATTTCACTCTAAATTAGCTCTTAAAAAAAGCTTTCATAAACCAAGCTAGTGATTACTCATGTTTAGGACTGGGACTCAGAACCTAATGATCTGGAAGCTTTGGATTTTAGCAGCTCAGATCCCCCACCCAGCAAATCCAAAATCCTTTTCTTAACCTGAGGAATCTCTACATTTCAGAGTTGATCCACAATGGATAAACCCCCCCAGATGCTGTATCAATTAAGGCTCTTTATGAAGGAATTACATCAATAATCTTTTACCTTTGTTCACTTCTAGCTAGAGACGTGTAGGTGACAGAAGTCTCACAAACAGACAATGAGATCTTATTAAAACAGAAGATATTCTTCTAAAAACACATGAACGCCATATTGAACTTGCAGAGAGCTCATTTACAAAAAAAATTGCAATAAAATAGAAACTGCACTATTTAATAAAATAGATAATTAATAAAGGTATTTAAGTAGCAAATTGGTAAATGCAGTCACATGATGCTCTCTACATCATCATTTAACTAAATTATAATGAACTGTCATCTAAAGAAACTTTCAGGAGAGATTCATCTAAGCTTTGATATACAACTGCACCATTAGGCAAATGGAATGAACTGAGGAACATATGAATGGAACTTTTATTGATGCTACTTTAAAGAGTACCTAAACAGTCCTTCAGTTTTACAGCTTTGAAGTGGCAGAGCACATAACACAACCTTCAAAAGCAAACCTACCATGTCAGTAAACCTACCACGAATAAAAACAGTCCAACAGCCATCATTCTTTATTTTTGTCTTTCAATTAAATTTTTTTGTCTCACTTAGACTAAGCCCTTGCTTTAATTAAAATAGTATTTTTACTTTATTAAAAATAATCACTGGTTTTGCAATTATTTTAATTTTACGATCAATATGAAATAGTAAATACTTTGGTTTCATATTAAATTAACAACAAATTCATATTTATCCACAGCATGACTTTGCTCCAGTTTACCTCAATTAACTTCATGACCATACTCTTGCCATCTGCATCAGGATTTGCTGGTTTGTAAAATTCCAAATCAAAATAAAGTTTGCAAGGATCTTTTTCAGGAATTACTTCATAGCAATGCATAAGACTTGTTTTACAACCTTGGCTAAGGAGAAACAAAAACAAATCACAACCTCTCATGATTAACATTATGTGCATGATAAACAGGCTTATCAGTTGCAAACAACGATCCCACATATTTCATTCTGCAATCAATCATCCATATGTTAAAAATATAGTAGCAATATAATTGCTTGGAAAAATTTGTAACTAACATCAGCATCAATTATTAGCAAAGATTGTCTGGCCTAGACTTTTAATTTTGTAGAGTACTCTCCTCTCCATGGCCCCCCAGTCTTACAATACATACAGAAATGTTGAGAATTCAAGGAACTATGAAAACTACAGTAAAAAACTTAAGTCATCACTCATATGTCTTTAGCACAAACATATGGAGTTTTTTCTAACTAAATTAAAAAATTAATCTCATTGTCAATTTCAGAAAAAGATCAGGCTTTAAATATAAAAATTGACTCAGATTTCTTTCACTCCATAGCCAAATGTTTTATTGTAAAAGAAACAAATGGGAGAAAAAGTTCAGTACATGACTGAATTGTCAATACTTGGAACTACATCATGCAAATGCAAATCCATAAATCAGCTTCCAGACATCTGCATTAACACCCACTGAAACTGGTGTATGACTAGTCACAAAAGTATGTTTTTGTCATGTGTTGGTATGATCCCCTGAGGAAAGCTGACAGCAAAAGCAAATCTTCTGTTAATAAATTTCAGTCCAGTAGACAGAGTACTTAATTCACAGGAAATAATGGCAACCTGCTACTCAAAAGTTAGCTGAAACCCACTATAGAATATATTGTTTCATCCTCATGAAGATTTTTCCCATTGCCAAGATGAAACCTCAGGTAACCCATTACAGCTCTGTGCTACTCAGAGCAGCAGATGGCTTCTGAGAATGCCTATCCAGTGATAGCTCTTACTAGCTGTGATATCCAGTATACCACTAACTTCTACTTTCTCAAATACTCACGTGTAATAAAACCAAAGCTCTTCATACGATGTCACAAGGTAAAACCTCTGTCCAGTCTGTGTGTTCTTTTCCAGAGCAAACACATGAACATCCTTTTTAAATAGAAACATGTAGAAACATGGAATTTTTTTGTTCATTTTATTTTAAATACCAGTTTAAATCTATATAAGTTCCTGCTTGGCATCAGTTAAAGGTTAGTAAATACTAGAGAACTATAAACAGATACTTTTCCACGCTCAGTAGCATCTAGTTTTAATTTAGAACATCATTCTAATTTCATTTACACAGGTAAAACTGTGAAGCTCTTCTTTGCTGTGCAGTAATGTAAACGGTTTTCTCTTTGAACTCTTGTTTCTTTCTGATCAATATCAAGCACATCTAAAGGGAGGAGGAACAATGTCCTGAAAGGAGCAGCCTCATGGACATGGTGGCAGTATAAGCTTTATGGGCAAATATTCTTCAGACATTATGTTGTTTAGATCCAAAAATGGAAATCTGATAAGAAAATAGAAAAAACCTACTGCCAAGCCAATGAGAACCCATTTTGGAAAACAGGCTGTCAGGATTACTTAAACACCTGAAACAGGTATGGAGAAAAACACAATACTTTCTTTTAAAAGAGCAATCAATTTAAAAAGTGTTAAACTGAAAACAGAGGATACCTTTCACACAATTTTTATTTGGATAATCACGTCTAATCATCTGAACTTGCTACTCAGATGCCATTGGAGAGTTGTATTGTTTTTATTTAGTCTCTGCCTCTTCTTTATCTCTTTTTCTTTATCATTTTTTTCCTCCTCGTTCTTCCTACTCATTCTCACTACCTTCCCATTCTCCTGCCCACCCTGACATCTTGTTCATCTTGAGGAGGAACAAATTTATCACTACAATGTTCCCAAAAAGCACTTTTACTGTTCAAAGTCAACACCACATATCAACTTGTATGTTAGAACAGAATTAGTACTTCTTAGAGATACTTCCAGTGCAACATAACCTACAAAGACAAAAAAACCCAAAACTTGCTCTTTCAGGATTGGGAATAAAAAGATCTTGTAAACTCATAAAGATTTCATTCCCAACAGCAATTTAAAATGATGTTCAATCTTGAAAGTATATAAAGAGTAGAGACATTCACCTAACACATAATATACCTCTTGGCAGGTTTTTACATAAGAAAAAGCTTCAGCCTGTCGCGAAAATATTTTCCAAACAGAGGATGGCATAGAGGGTTTGGACAGTCTTGGTCTATAAACTGTAGGAAGAGGATTTCTTTCATAGTGAGATGCTAGTTCTTCCACCTTCTTCAGTCTTTCTTGCCATTTTCTCTTCATTTCTTCTAAAGCAATTACAGATAGTCAAATCAGTATCAATCTGTTTGCAAGGCAATTTTAATTTGAATCTATCTTGTACTCCTCACTGCTTTTGATTCTGATTTTGTTGAATGTAATTTATTAATTAACTGGGAGTAGCCAATGTTCCAAATCAACACCTAACCTTGCTATGATACTCATTTTAATATTAAATGTCTCTACACTGTTTTGGGAGTACAAAAGCTTCATATTAACACTTATCAAAGATAAACACAACAGAATAAAGACAGTGAAAGAAGGCCTAGGAATTTTCATTTCTGTCTACAGAATGGTATTACACTCCTCAGAAAGTATACAAACTGTTGACTAGGCACATAACGTTAGTAAGGAGTAAAATAATACTAAAAGTAAAAAAATATTTTTCCTTTATGGTTGGGGAGGCAAATGAGATAATTTCTATGGGTAGCACAATATTTGAGTTCATAGGAGGAGTTAAGACTTCAGTGACTTTAGCTCTGAGCTCTGTATCTTGAAGTATAAGAACTGAAATCCAAAATGAGAGTTCCATTCTCCATGCTGACCTTTGCTATTGATCACTCATACTTTCACCTGCTTTAAAAGCTCATGTATTTTTCACAACAGCAATCTTATCTCTTTTCAAGAAATATAATCATGCAGTAACTCTTGCTATCTTGCAACCTTTAAGTTTCTAGTCCCATAAAGTAATCCAAATGATGCAGAGTAATGTAGTAAATCATAAACACACATATGTACAATTATCTGTAAGTGGAACACCAGCAAATTGGTAAAAAGCACTGCCAGGAAACTGTGAAACAGAGGAAGAGAGGCAAGAAGTAATAAACACAAAGGGGAATCTTCTTGTTCTGCCCAGCATAACCACTTTGTTCTTCTAACAGCTCCTGGGCTGCAGTGAAAGATAAAAATGAAACTGAGTGAACTCAAAAGTATTCAAACCTTTAACAAGCTGGATCCACAAGGCAAATTTAAGTATTTAAATATTCTTGTGGAGCCCTGAAGCCCAAATTTTAGATCCTCTCATTTCCCCCTCCAAGTTTTCCATAGCAAATCTTCCTGGAACAGTTACATTTCTGCCCACTGTTGAAGCCTGCCAATGTCTTGATAATCAGTGACTGAATGAAGTCTAAGTAACAGAATGTTTTTTCTGTAACAGGGGTCAAACATATTACCTCTATCCCCCTCGTCCATCTTCTGACCTGTGCATTTTCTTCACTCCTTTTCTATGCTCTTAGTTTCTTCTCTGGGAATGAAAAGTTAGATTATAGATAGCAATCAGCATTTCTCAGAAGTGCTAACAAACTTTCAGTTTCATTTTGATGCTGCTGGCTGTAAATTAACTGGGTGCAAAAGACATCCCTACATCAGCATTTTCCCACAAGGTGACCATTAAAAAATGAAAGCAAAGGAGAAGCCCCATAATTCTTTATTAATTTTAAACTTTCTAGTTACATTAGGCCGTATTTTTGCAGAAACACAGCTGGGAGGACCTGAACCTGGGAGAAGAGTGATGACCCTTACTTTAAACTGAAACTATCATGGTTCTTGCAGTCCAAACACTCGATCTCTCAAGAGTCCAACATGTCAAGTCTTTTCAAGGCAATTTCAATTCCTGTGTGAGCTATAACACAACACATCTACTTAGAGCACATACAATTAACACAGATCAGCCTTTTGAGTTCACTGGGAAATTCTCACTTCATCTTCCTCTCTTATGTGCCACCAGAAGTAAGGGCAGTACTTATTTTTGTTTGACTTGACTGAAAGAAATCTTGTCACAAACATGTTTGGACTTCAGTGTTATTGACTCAGCAGGATCACTGCATGGAGAGCCTGGAAAAATGTCTCCTGAGCAATGACTTAAAGAACTTGCTATTTACTTTTCACTATTTTATGGAAACCTATTTCTCCCTTTACTTGTTATAACAGCAAAACATATTACACACACCTGCAGCTGAGACATGCAAATCAACTGCTACTCAAAATAACATTACACTTGTTTCCTGGCTGGTGTGTACCATGCAACATAGTTCTATGGCAGAATTCATGGTCCTTGACACAAATAAATCCTTGAGATTTTCTCCCAGCTACCAATTCAGCCTTAGAAGAACATATTAAATTCCTTAACAGTAGTGAAAATTAGCTATCCTTACATTCAGCTGATGAATGTCACATTAATAAACACTACTCATCTTCCCAATAACAAATGTTCATCTTGCCCTCCTAATAGAGGAAGTGGCCTCTACATTTACGGACTCATAGGATGGCTCAGGTTGGAAGGGACCACAGTGGATTATCTGGTCCAACCTCCCTGCTCAAGCAGGGTCATCCTGGAGCACATGGCACAGGACTGTGTCCAGTCACTTCCTGAGTATCTCCAGTGGGGAAGACTCCACAACTCCTCTAGACAACATGTTCCTCAAATTAAGATTGCAAGTACAAAACTCAGTACCTCAGACCTGGTGATAAGACCTGAAAAAGTAGGTTAGTACCTGTTATGAGAAGCTGGAATACATAGCTTCCAATGTTATCTGACATCCGCTACTGAAGGTAGATGTACAAATATGAAACTAACTGACCTGAAAGTTGATGATTAAGCCAAAACCAGGCCTCAGCGTCAGAGCGCTGTTGTGTGAGGCAGGTCTGTGGGCAGCCAGGGACAGCCACCACGCAGGTGGGTGAAAACCCTGTCCAAGGGAAGGTCCTGCCATGGTACAGACCAGCTCATCCATGGGGATCTCGCTTACTGAGGTTAAGAGGGGGGCTGCTCATTTAGTAATTGTCCCCACAGATTCCTCTAGACAGCCATTTCCTTTACAAACCACCATTCTATCATAATCACAGAACAGCCTGAGTTGCCACCTCCAACAGTCACACCATGTACCTGAGAATGTTGTCCAAATGCTCCTTGAACTCTGTCAGACTTGGTGCTGTGACCTCTTCCCTGGGAGCCTGTTCCAGTGCCCAGCCACCCTGTGGGTGATGAACCTTTTCCTAATACCCAACCTCAACCTCCCCTGACACATCTTCAGGTCACCACAGAGATCAGCACCCGCCCCTCCTCTTCTCCTCACAAGGATGTTGAAGACCGCAATGAGGTCTCCCCCTAGCTTCTCTTTCTCCAGGCTGAACAGACCAAGTGATCTCAACTGCTCCTCATATGGCTACCCAACGAGGAAATGCCCTTCACCATCCTCAGAGTGCCCAAAACTGCACACAGCATTTCATGAGAGGCCGCACCAACATAGTGTAATATACTAGAACGGCACATTTGTTTCAGCAGGCAGAGGAACTCAAGCAACAGCGCGCCGTTCACACCCAAGAGCAGCCAGGACAGCCGTACGCGGCTCAGCGCTCAGAGCGCGGTGGCTCAGTGTTCCGCCATGGGGCCCGGCCCAGCGAGCTCTGCCAGGAGAGGAGAGCAGAGCAGAGCAGAGCAGCCACCCCGTGCCTCCTCAGCCCGGCCTCGCACGTCTCCCTCCCGCCAGCAGAGCCCGCACAGCCGGGCCCGCCGGGCCCGCGCCGCTCCCGCCGGCCCCGACTCACGGCCCGCGCCGCTCCTGCCGCCGCCGCTGCGCGCCGCCCGCCCTGCGCGGGGCGGGGCTAGCGGGGCGCCAGCGGGCCGGGTGGCGGCGGCGGCGGGGCTTTCTCCGCTCGGGGCAGCGCTCGGGAAAACACGGGTTGGAGCGCAGCGAGCCGCCGGTGAGTGAAGCCAGTGAGGGGCAGTGGTGCCGGGATGCGGCAGTGGTGCCGGGATGCGGCGGCGCCGGGATGCGGGCGCGGCGGCGGCAAACAAAGCCGGGGGTGGGGGGTGGACCAAGCTGTGTCTCTCCAGGTCCGCGTGGCCGCTAACACTACTCCCGGAGGAAGTCGGCAGTGGGGAGCAGGAGGGGAGCCGCGTTTCGCCGGGGTGGGCCCGGCTGAGCGTGCCGCTCCCCCGTCTGCCCGCGGGGCTCCCGGCGCCGCAGGCCCGGCGGTCGGGCGGTGCTGGGGGCGGGTGAGCCCCGGCCTTGCCCTCGGGCCAGGCGGGAGAGAGCCCCCGCCGTGCCATCCCAGCGCCCGCCGTGCCATCCCAGCCCCCGCCGTGCCAATGCCAGCGCCCCCCGTGCCAATGCCAGCGCCCCCCGTGCCAATACCAGCCCCCGCCGTGCCAATCCCAGCGCCCCCCGTGCCATTCCCAGCGCCCCCCGTGCCATTCCCAGCGCCCAATCCCAGCGCCCCCCGTACCAATCCCAGACCCCGCCGTGCCATTCCCAGCGCCCGCCGCTTCCCCTGCCGGTGGCAGAGCCCGGGCCTCGGGTGTTAGCTTTCCAGAAGCTTAAGGTAGCGAGTTTGTTCCCTTTCAGCCTGTCTTTGTGGGGACGCTGTAGAAACAGAGGGCGAAGAGAAGGGGGAAAAAAAGGCTCTGTAATTCTGAGCTGCTCTCTGGTGACCACTCGGCGGACCACTAACCGGAAACACGGCGTCAGAAGCTGTACTTGGATCTTCCGAAACAAAGCGTGTTAAACCTCGTCTGTACTGACGAAAAGCACGCCTGGGGTCCTGGCAGGCACTGTGGCTAACTTGTGGTAGCAGGCAACACGCCCTGCCCGAGGTGTGTTGTGTCCTGTCTGTTCCCTGCTGGGCTGAAGGATAGGGCTGGCCATCTATCGTCTGTCTTTTACCCTGTAACTCAGAGTTCTCTCCTTCAGGTATCTGCTTGCCAGGGGGTAGGTTTCAAACTAGCACACCGTGCCCTTCATGTTAAGGAGCTGCTATGGCTGTTGCTTATAACAGTGGTGATGTGATTAATAGCTACAGGTAAATTAATAACTCCAAGGTCCCTTCTACACTTGGAGTAATTTCAGTTGATTTTACAGCTTCATGCTGAGTACCTAAAAGTCTGTTTGTTGTGGAAGATCAGAATGCTGGCCCAGTGTCAGGATTTTCCAGCAATTACATCCCGACCAGAAGCAATGGGAAAAGCTGTCTCAGTATGGGCCTGCTTCCATCTGTGGTAGCAGTATTTAGTAGGGGGACAGTGTCTCACAGAAAATGTAATGCTGTATTTCAGATGTTTTTAGTTTTTTCATATAGTCTGCTTCTATATCTTCCTTCTCTTATTAGTCAGATAATCGTTGTTTAGCATTATACATTGTAGAGGGGAAGATTCTTAATTTGCATGTCTGCATTAGTATCATGATATGTCATGTATATGTTCGTCTACAAAAAATACCTTCTTTAAATGCTTGACATTTTCTCTTGCATTCGTGTGATGTAGAAAACTGTCCTTTTCCTATCTTTAAGAAGATGTTTTACATTGCTGATGTCATGTTTTAGCAGTGCTAAAACTCTTTACTCATTGCTTTGTAGCAACAGATATGTTCTGAACATGTGTTGGTTCCTGTGGTTTGCATATTTCAGGATCCAGTTGGTAACTAAAGACAGTTTAGTTATTTGCTTTCTCCCATCTCAGAAGCTTTGGTATTTTTATCACTATCTATTTTTATCACATTTCTGTTGTTTGTTCTCATTTCAAATAAATATTGCTTTAAAAAGAAAAACCTGGTGGTTCTTATGGCCACCATAAGTAACCATGTGGTAACACATGATGATGTGAATTTATTTTCATTAGGTCCAGGTAGAATAAGTAAATCCTACATAACTGCATTTATGTAGGGAAAAAATCTTTTTGCTCTTATTGCTGTACAGAGACAAATTGGTCATTTCTTGGTAGCTTGCAGAACATAGCTTTGAACCTTTTTGAGCCACTTTATTTCTTATTACTTAGTATATGTAAAGATCATTGTAGCATCACCTTTATGTTTGCTGTCTCTGTATCATTTTTTTTTTTAATTGTATTTTTTTCAGACTCACTATTATAAAATAAGCTTCCTAAAATCTACGGAATATATTTTGCTAGATTATAAAAATGCTGTTGCTCTTTTTAAGAACTTGTTTATATTTCCTTACAGTTGAAACCTCGTTTTACGTAAACTTTCAGAGAAAATATCAAAGAGCAGGATAAAAATTTGTAATAAATTTTTAAAGCACTGCAATGATTTCTTCCCCCCACACCTCCCCCCACCAGGATGAGATCATCCTCCACAGGGAAATGCATGGCATCACTGCATTACCTAAAGCAAGATGAGGCAATTCTTACTGGCCTGTTAGAATCAGCAGCATCCTCCAGAGAGCATTGCTGTGACCCTGCTTCAGAGCACAAAATGCCCTGCTGATTCAAACACGCATTTGAGAGCCTAGCAACAGAAGAGCTATCTCTTTGTGCGTGTCTTTTGTTCTTTAAAGAAGTGCAGGTGACCTGGTGCCTGAGGGTGCTCAGGAATTGATGGATATTAAAAGTGAGTTACAGATTCTGTTCTGAAGAGAAACCATGCGCATTTCAAATACTTAACGTGTTATAACCAGTTTTTCTAGATAATCCCTATAGCTTCTGTAAAGTCTCTGAGACAAGCTTCAGTTGTGATGAAGTTGAGTGCAGGAAGCTCTAACACTTCATTGAACAGCTGTAACTGTAGGCTCTGAACTGGGCTTTCAGAGGCCTTAGTAAGAAGTATTTTTATGATACAGTATTGCAAGTTGTGATTTAAATTTTTCAAAAAGAAACTAATATAGTTTATTGGAATTGTAGGTTTTGCTAGCTACTTCTTCCAATTTCATTGGAAATGAAATTTCTTTGGTGCTGGATCAAGAACAGCAGTTAACATCGTGTTTAGCAGGTTGCTAAAGGGTCAAGGAGATAAGTCTTATTTTAAGGTCACTTAAATGTTGAAGATCTCTTGTAGTGTTTGCATCCTGCCTTAACATTTATGTTGTAAGCAGCATTCAGTGCTCGCAGGGGTCTGCAGTTTGTTTAGTTAAGGCTGCTGCTGTTCAGCAGTTTGGTTGGAGCGCACCTGATGTGAACCTGGGAGAGCCTAATAAGCCACTTCCCTCCCTCGGGATTCCAAGCGTTCATCTGTTAGCCAGAGAGCGTTAGCTTTCCCTGTGCTTCTGCTGAGTCTTTCTTCGAGTAGCTCTTGGTAGGTGGCTCATCTGATAAACAGGAGCTGGCCACAGCTTATGGAGGCACATATTTACTAGTTTACACTCTCTCCTTCATGGACTTGGAGCACAGGCACTGCAAAACTTCACATGGCCAAGCAGCTGGGATGAACACTTGGGGTTTAGCAGAAGTTGATTTCTGTGCTGACATGGCTACATTGCTGTCAGTGCACCTGCTAGTTGGTTTTGATAATAGAGTTGGCACATGATGCTGTGCTTTTTTATATGGTGTGGCTGCTTATTACTATTGAAAGACAAAGAACAGATGAAGGAAGTTAACCATTTCCCTGTCTCTCTTATTAATCCCAGCCACACTGAAGGGTTTGGGTTGTGCTCGTGCACCTAGTTCTTCTCCAAGAGAAGGGAGAGTATGAGTGGCATCAGAATAGTAGGTCAGTCTGCTTGGATGTTTTCCTACAAATTTTGCTCAGGCTGAGAGCTCGGGAAAGCTGAGAACCAAACCCAAAGATATTGTAGTAGGGATGGTTGAAAAGTCATAGAAACTCTTGAAGCTGGGCTGTGCTGGAGCAGAACTTCCTTGTCAATGAAAGTTGTTCTTTCCGATTGCTGGGGATCAGAAGCTCTGCTCTTCAGTTAGGGCTGAGTGCACACACCAGTTGTCACTGTAGACTAGACTTTGCTGGCAGTGCTAATGTTCCCTGCTCCCTAGGGCATAGGGTTGGATCACTGTCATGCCACAGTCAGAGGTATTTGAATTGTCCTTGGAAGTTGCTTGCCTTTTTTTTCCCACAAGGTACTTTTAATGAATTAGACTTTGATGTTCAGATGAGTGAATCCAGATCAAGATGCTAGGCAGTCAAGTTCAGCATTGTAGATTTAGTTCCTACCTTATGATACTGCCTTTAAAGTAAATTTGTAAAATAAAATGATAAAATGTATTTTAGACATTTTGTTTCTAAAATACTAAGCTTTTTTAATACTTTGGTGATTTGATTTTCAGGAAAATTGCTGTTTGCTGCATTACATAATACAGTTGTCAAGTCTGGAATCATTTGGTGAAGAAGAAGATTTAATTACATCAGTGCTCTGAAATAATATTCCGAGTAAAATTGAAGATCTTTTGAAGCCACTAAAAATGTAAGTAAATGTCTTCCTGGAAAGAAGTTAAGAAAGAAGGTTATACATAACCAAATTAGTGCTTCTGATGCATCAGTAATTGTTGCCACAAAAATGGGTGTTTGTGTTGTACTAACAAGAGTAGAGATACAAAGCTGAGGCTTAATATGATAATAATAATATCATGATGTAAGGTGGCAAATATAGTTTGCCCCAAAGAACTTGAGCCTTAAATAAGAATCATCATCATATCTGGCCAGCAAATCTTGCTACTTGGTCTGGTTACTTACACCTTCTTATTTACCATAAATATATCTGCTAAAGTAAGTTTTTGCAAAATTCTTTCCTTGTTGTGCCTTGTTTCACCTTCT